CAATAAAAACGGAAATTTAACCTCTTAATGTTGTTGATGACCAGGTGGTGTCTGTTCTGTTCCCAGTAAATGTCTTTCGGCCAAAATTTGCTGCAGCTGGTCTTCCGACAAATTTGCGAAACGCGCAACATGCGAGTTTTTTTAATTCGGCTCAATTTTTGCTGCGTGTTGGATCAGGACCTAAAAGGTCAATGCCGATAGAAAAATCGGGCAGTTCTTCGCTGGTTTCTTCCATATTTTAAAGAGAAGGAAAACTGCACTGCAGCTTAAAAGACGACAACTCTGCAGCCTGGTAAAACAAGATGCTTACGTCATCTTATTTACGCACGGGCGTGCGTAAATAAAGATTTTGTTCATAGCGGCTCAATAGGACTTATATAGGGAAAGCACGCGCGCTATGTTATAATTTTACTTTAAGGCTAAGAGAATGAAAAATTACTAAGCTTTGTAAATGCTGAAGAATGAAGACAGGAATCATAAAAATACTCTTTCAATTTATTTTTTAGCTTTTTTTGGTAAATTTGGACGTCTAGTAGACTAAAAAGCAGCTCTTCGAGAGGTTTATAGTGTCTGCGTGTTCTACAGTTTAGCCATTCTGAAGTTTTTTCTTGTCCACCACAACGATACTTCATGGGACATTCAATAATATTATTTTCTGACATGATCAATAAAGTCAGCAACCAGGTAAATACTCACCAAATCTCTAAAATTTCTGCAAGTCCTGGGGGCATGTTTCCAGTATAACTCACATTTAATTTCACCCTTGAAATGCACAATTAATAAGACTCGTGTGACGACCAAATTCGTTATCAAGGTGTATATAGGTACGCAGTAATACACGCTTCACAGGTGATTTGTATTAGAGAGTAACAGAAACAGTGAATTGGTGAGGTGTCAGTGATTTTGTTACCCCTGCGTCCTCATCCCTGAAACATAACAATTCCCCAAAGACACAAAATAATTCATGGCATGCATCCCATAGGACGCAAAGAACGATCAGTCAATTTGAAGATATTTTGGTAGAATATCCTGTACGTGTAATTTCTGTGGCTGTTGTTTAAAGATATATTACATGTATATTTATTTTAATAGTCTTTTAATATTATTGTGCTTTAAATGTATAGGAGGACTACATTTCAATTTCAGTATACTGTAATAAAGAGTTTGGAGTCTGTCTCTAGATTTACTGTCTGGTTACATAAAGGCCCAGGCATAACTCCTTGTTTTTTTCAACTGGGACTCATCGGATCTGGAATGGGACTTATGATATTTCACAGGATGAGTCCCAAAACTCACCATAACTATTTGTAACAAAATCATTGGGTGTGCAAGAAAACAATCTTTAAAAAAAATTTGCATGTATAAATTTACTGCGCTTTTCAAAAACGCACAAACTATGAAGTTCAAAAGCCACCTTCACAATTGCGTTTTTTGTTGCCGTCAATCAAAATTGCGTTTATATTATATAATAATTTGTTTCTGGCCATATTTATAGGCCACAATGAAAACTAACAGATTATCAGTAATATATTGTGTTACTTTTTTACTGTTAAAATTTTTCTCCAGTTCTTTTCTCTTACCTTTATAACTCTGTGAAATTTGCAGTTATTATAATATCCTCTCGCTGCCTGTTAAAACAATAATATAATTATTAAAGGTGGGTGACAAAAATACATTGAGTCAAGAAAAACTTGATTTCCTGCTCTCAAAGACCCATTGAGTATTCTAACCACCAAACTGTGAATTAATGATTTGACAATACCTTTTTACTAGATTTATACATGTACTGCCTCCTACAACTAGTAATTTCAGAATAAGTTTTTTCCCTGGCTATCTCCTGACCTGTGACAACCATAATACCGTCCCCTGGTTAGCTCAGTTGGGAGAGCGCTGGTCTGCTGGGCGGGAGGTCGTGGGTTCAAACCCTGGCAGGACCAACACTTAGGGTCTTTAAATAACTGAAAACAAAGTGCCGCCTTTGCCATGACATCTGCAAAATGCTCAGACTTTCTAGTCTTCTCGGATAAGGACGAAAATGAATGAACTTTATACATAATGGGGTGAAAAAATGACTGCTCCTACATCCCTGCATTTGCAGTCGATAAATCTTGTGATAAAATGGGATGCAGATGCACAAAGATTCATTTAAGTCTTTCTTTTTTTAATCACAAAATGAGCTCTACTCGAGATTACATCGTGCATGAAGCATGCATGCCCATATATGGCATGTCACGTTAGACGTACCATGACAATTCAAAATCAGGGTCCAGTTGCTCGAAGCATGGTTAGCGTTAACCAGTGTTTAATACCTTGACAACATAGTGGTTTTGATACTGCTTAGCCAATGGTTAAAGCTAACCATGCTTTGAGCAACTCAGCCCAGGTAATTAACTTAAAATGGTAACAGCGGGTTTCGCTACATGTACTTGTCAAGTTCACTACACGTTCGAGTTCGCCACATCAACTAATCGTTCAAACTTGCTGCTAACTGTAAATTAAAATAAATTGTAATCCTGTGCTTGAACTTCACATACTGTTTAAATAAGACGTCAAGACGCCAAGCACCCAAAATTAATGCCATAACATATAGCTAACTCGACAAGTAGCAAAACGGGCGTAAACCCTTAAAACAGCAGCTCTCCCAGCCCTTAAAAATTAGTTTACTTAAGAATTTGTTCATGCTTAGCGTGCGTATATCGAGTTATGGATGCACGCGGAAAGTTTGGAGAGCACGAAAGATGCGTAAGAGTTGCACGAGGCGATAGCCGAGTGCAACTCTAGCTTCTTGAGTGCTCTCCAAACTTCCCAAGTGCATCTATAACTCGATATACGCACAGCTAAAAGCATGAGCAAATTCTTTTATAACATAGCTGACAAAAATGCTTGCTTTTTGATTAACTACAAAATTCTCGTAACGCGCTACACAATAACAAACGCTTCTATTGGCTGATTACGAACACACCACAATCATCTAGTTTGAATGAAAATATTCTTTCTGTAGCTTTTCTGTAAAACTGAGAAAGAACATTTGCTTCTTTATTCGTTAACGATCAATGGAAACTAAGCAGAAACAAAGGTAAAAGAGTCTTAAAGTTCACCTAACAGGGTTCTCAATAGAAGGCGACACCCGGCGATTGATCGCCGCTTACTTTGGGATTTATAGCCGCTTACTTTGTGTTTAAGTCGCTTTTCTTTGCTTTGTTTTGACACCTCTGGCTTTGCAGAAGAGCCTCCTACTTTATCAGTGATCACCTCCTACTTAAAAATCTATTGAGAACACTGCACCTAAAGTTAAAATACTAACATGTTCGTAAGAAGTCGTGGAGTATGGTTTGGATTTGCTGAAAAGATGTTTACGTTTTGCTCGGCGAAATCCAGAAAACATGTTTTTAGCGAAGACGACTGTCATCCTTCTTTAAACTCATATTCATTTACAAACATTGGCTGGTCATTACGGCTTCTTGAGAAGACCTGGCAGCAGTTGTTTTTGTGAGTAATAAATTTATGTCTTCTTGTGTAATTTTTGTTGTTATTGCCAGAGAAATCTTCCTGCTTCGGTCGGATTGTCCGCAGATAACAAAAGTGTATAACAAATTTAAAAACAACAATAAAAACGGAAATTTAACCTCTTAATGTTGTTGATGACCAGGTGGTGTCTGTTCTGTTCCCAGTAAATGTCTTTCGGCCAAAATTTGCTGCAGCTGGTCTTCCGACAAATTTGCGAAACGCGCAACATGCGAGTTTTTTTAATTCGGCTCAATTTTTGCTGCGTGTTGGATCAGGACCTAAAAGGTCAATGCCGATAGAAAAATCGGGCAGTTCTTCGCTGGTTTCTTCCATATTTTAAAGAGAAGGAAAACTGCACTGCAGCTTAAAAGACGACAACTCTGCAGCCTGGTAAAACAAGATGCTTACGTCATCTTATTTACGCACGGGCGTGCGTAAATAAAGATTTTGTTCATAGCGGCTCAATAGGACTTATATAGGGAAAGCACGCGCGCTATGTTATAATTTTACTTTAAGGCTAAGAGAATGAAAAATTACTAAGCTTTGTAAATGCTGAAGAATGAAGACAGGAATCATAAAAATACTCTTTCAATTTATTTTTTAGCTTTTTTTGGTAAATTTGGACGTCTAGTAGACTAAAAAGCAGCTCTTCGAGAGGTTTATAGTGTCTGCGTGTTCTACAGTTTAGCCATTCTGAAGTTTTTTCTTGTCCACCACAACGATACTTCATGGGACATTCAATAATATTATTTTCTGACATGATCAATAAAGTCAGCAACCAGGTAAATACTCACCAAATCTCTAAAATTTCTGCAAGTCCTGGGGGCATGTTTCCAGTATAACTCACATTTAATTTCACCCTTGAAATGCACAATTAATAAGACTCGTGTGACGACCAAATTCGTTATCAAGGTGTATATAGGTACGCAGTAATACACGCTTCACAGGTGATTTGTATTAGAGAGTAACAGAAACAGTGAATGAAATAACACAAAGACAGTTGCTTTCTAGAGGACAAGAAAAACATACCATGGAGGTTTCTAATGTGACATCGGCAAGTTCGGACGCCATTTTGAAAGTATCTAGGATTGAAGGGGTTCCTGGGTAAGATAAAAGTCCTTAATCTTCTTATCCTCTTGAGCACCTACGATAAAAGCCGAGACTAGCCAATCAGAAGTGAGTACTGGCAGTACCTATTCAGTTGTTCCCTTTCGATACCCAGAAATAATGACCTATATCAGCCAATCAGAACCGTGAAAACGCTCGTTGATGTTTCTTGGAGGCCAAAAATTCCCTAACAACGAGAGCTGGAAACTGGCAAACGCTAAGATGAAGTGCGAAGTGACATTATAACTTCCAGCTTTTGCGGTCGTTCTTATGAATTCTCCGTGCTGTGTAAAGTCTAGGTTCTCGCGAAGGAGTCTTTCATCCTTTCTTATAGAGAGAAATAAAAGCGCCTAACTTGCGCGGCCTCGGCGCGGCCATTTAGAATAATGCCGATCGCCCAAGATCGTTTAGAACAACTTCAAGTTCTAAAGTTACTTCAGTCGGTTCGCAACGAGGATGTCGATCAAATCGAGAAGCTGACAACTCACGGAGTTCCTTATTTGATCAACTATTCTGGTAAGTGAAGGAAGTTCTTTGTATTAATACAAAATCAATTAACCCAGTAACTTGAGAAGAGCAGAGGTGTTATTCGTCGCCATAGATTTTCGCGCGAGTATCTATTTGTTTGGGTTCTGCAGGGCGGGAAATTTAATAAACAGGAGTTTATTTTATTGAAGATTGCTTCATACAGATCAAGTTGCGATTAGAGATTTTAACAGCTGCATTGAAAAGATACTTTATCGCTGTATGCTGGTGGAAACTTCTTACCAAAATCTAATTTTCCTTCAATCGCTTTCTTTCAGGTTCAAATTTCCAACATCGTACGTACTGGGATTAAAACAGATTTAAATCTTGTCTGTCAATTTTACTCAGTGATTCTTTAACAGTCTGCTTTCTTTGTTATACATCGCAAGCATTTAGAAAGACACCTTTATTATAGACAAAAAGATTATTGGATTAGGAGATCAATAGTTCAGGTCACAACGCCTTTTTACTTTGTTCAGCTCCAAAATAGACTCAAAACAGGCGACAGAACTGAATTTAGTAATTTTGTGATTTGCCCATTGTATGATATGCCTTACTGTCACTCATTTATTTAAGCTTATAAAGTGGGCAGTCAAATGGTAACGACACAGCCGAAGACAATTGACTGAATGTGTGCGGAACTTGCAAGTTTGAGCTAAACAAATGGTAGCCGGTCAAGTTTTCCTGATCATTAAATGACCAAGAGTCCAAATAATCTGCATTTGTTGCATCTCTACATTTGCTTCCAGATGTAGAAGTTTAAGTCAATAGGCACCAATTTACCAAGTACTAAAGAAATGAAAAAGAACCCTGGTATCTTACGATAATTCATCTCTAACCTTCACAAAGCCATCATCAGAGCTGGAATTTAAACTGGGGTACAGTTTCTGTAACCTGTGGCAAACTTTTAATAATAATATAATAATGATTTAGTATTTATTAGACGCAAAATAGCATTCAAATATATGATCTAATGCGTGCAAAACTTTCCATTTAAGAACTACCAATATGTGTCTCACAGTTACCCTCAGGAAACTTGATGTGTCACTCAAGTAAAACCCTGCCAGGCTGGGTTAGAAACTGGTTGGTTGACCAGCCAAAAAAAATCCTGTCATGAAGGCTCCTGTGCCAATGACTCTCACAATCTCCAAACAGAGTGCTTGCCTGCAGGACAGGATACACATTCCTGGAAACATAAACCAAGCTTTAATCAAAATTTGTATTTACTTGTTAATCTAGAACCTGAGAATGGTGAGACAGGTCTTCATTTGGCTGCATGCAAGAATAACGAGAAGATGATCTCATTTCTTCTTGATCTTGGTGCAAGTCCAAACATGGTAGACTTGAAAGGGCGGAGTCCTGCTATGCGAGCAGCAGAGTTTGGCCATGTCCAGGCACTGACTCTTTTAACAGAGGCAGATACAGATTTGACAAGTAAGGAATTTAATATTTTTATTTGAATGAATTTTATACAAGAATAATTATTTTTTAATTTGCAACTTGCTTATTTGATTATACCTCTTACAGTGTACACTGAAGCAGTTTGCTTAAATAATAACTTTGTTTTATAATTTAATAGCTGTGAAAGGTTTGAACCCAGGAAACTCAACCTACTTTTGAAATTTAATAACTATCAGCAAACATGATAACTTTTCTCTTTGACAGTCAGAGACGTTGAAGGGAAGGGAATACTCTTCTACTGTATCCAGCCTACAAAGCGTCATCTAGAATGTCTACAGATTGCCCTTAATCATGGTGCCAGTGTGAACTACGTGGTAGGTTTGATATATAGGTTTGATATATAGACAAGGTCATGTTCCCCTGTTGTGTTAGAGGAAACTCTTTGGAACGTCTTTGGACATCTTTGGATATTATTGGACCCCTACAAAAATTCCTAGCACTCTCAGGATAAAGTGTCATGCCTCTAACTTAAAAAAAATGCAGGTACATTAATGGTGCCAACTGCAAAACTGCAATGTGAAACTTCCCCGTTTCAACCCTTTCTCCCACTTGCTTTCCCTAAAACAACCAAGGTACTCATAAGTTAGTATGAGTATTTCCCAATCCATAAGCTACTTTTAATTTTTATTTTAATATGAATTCTATTCCTTGTTTTTAAACTAGAGTAAAGATGGTCAGCCTTTACTGTTGGTGGCTGCCGAAGCTGGACTTGATGACATTGTAGCTGCACTTCTTATCGCTGGGGCAGATCCAAATAGTGTTCATGCAGTATGTTACAATTCAGATTTAAATGAGCTTATAAATGATACATAATGCAGAGTACAGACCTCAATTAAGAAGAAGAAATTGCCTATGAACATACATGCAATGCAAGAGCCATATATACGTGTACACAATGTTAGTGTAGTCAGGTTACACGTGACATCACCAAAATTCAAGCTTAGGGAATTATTGATTCTTCTGTGTTTTTACTTTCATAAGGTATAAGCCCAGCTAAACATCATTATTCATGAAAATTTTCAGGTCAAAAGGGTTCTTCATTTTGCAATAGAGGACACTTGAATTTCCAGGCTTTTGCATGAAGCGGCATTTAATATAGCTGGCAGCCAGGAAAGCTCGTTACTGATTTTTTGAGATTGGTCGGCATTTTTATTTTTGAAAACAGAGAATACAAGTGCAATTAAACTTTTTTCTGTAATTTTACTCTCCTTTTAAATGTTAGATAACTGGCCAGACAGCCCTTCACGCGGCCTGTGCAGCTGGAAGTGTAGGGTGTGCCAGGGAAATCTTGGAGGCTGGAGCTGACTATGATGCAGTAGACAGTGAAAATAACCATTCAACCCACAAGTGAGTAGAAACTCATGATTTAAACTACCACCATGTTGATTTCAAATTCCAATTCCATAGAAACATTGCTATTTAGTTCCCAGTCTCCAGAAAGTACCTCCCTCCACTCCAACCCCTCGGATATCATGCAGTCATCACTCATGTCTTTCAAGTTGCGACTTAAAATTTTTTTAGCTCATTTGGCAAACTTTGAAAGCAAGTTTTCCAGTAGTTGTGTTAAAAATAGCATAACTGGGAGACAGACCAACCCAAGGAACAGAACTAACTGAAAAGTCAAGTGGCATCAGTATAACAAGAGTGAAAACAATGAAAAAAGAGTGTAAACTATATCCAAGAGAAAAAAAAATTTCAAAGTAAGTGGCACAGAAATGTTCAAATACCTTGGTCACCCTTTCTTGATGAAGTGCCCTCTCAGAGTAGGATCCAGGTTTTTGTAAGAGACTCAGGTGGTTGAATCAACCACAAAACAGAACATTGAGTTTAATTTGTCTTATGGCATTCACAAAACGTACATTGAGGGATGATGAAAAGGAACCTGTAAAAATGCAAATTCTTACAATGTCACTGGCAAGACATACATGATATCACTCATAACATGTAAATGTTACATTGTAGTTGGAAATCAAGATAAGGTTAATGGCTAGCCACCCTGTCCACCTTCCTTGATCCACCTCTGCATTTTACCTAGCTAGTGACCGTTTGAGAATTAATGGGTCCTGTCACATGAAGCCATCATTGGCCAATTCCAATAGATCGAATAAACCCAGTACTTGACATGAAAAAATTTTCAGACACCATACTGTGTACAGTTCTTAACTATGGTACCACACAGTCATCTCTTGTCAATTACTCATAGTTTTTATGGAATTAATCCATTCGCCCCTGAACCGCCCATAACCGCCCATAACCGCCCATAACCGCCTGTGCGGATCCAAGTCCTTCCTACCCTTTGTGACGTCATCAGTTTTAACGGTCAAGGACAACTTTGTCCACTAACTTGTGCAGAGTGAAGAGATCTTTCAAACCATACCAGAATGAGTACAATTCAGTCAAGGACACCGGAGAAAGAAGCAAAAAAACCATGTGACATTGACCTGAAAATCTCCTTGAAAATCTTGTTCCATTGCTCACCTACCTTTCCTTTCACCTAATCCTAAGATCCTAAAAGCTTTCCTAAAAACTCTTCCCACCAAAACGAAGCCTACTAAATGCCCAGCAAGAGAAAAAAAAACGAGGCAAGAAAAGTGAAAAAAGAGGGGAGGAGAGGAAGCAAAAAGTAAAAGTCAAGACTGCTGTGTCACTTTTAAACTTTGCTTTCTGTGCATGCCCGAACTTCGCAAGCTGATATTTTGCATCTGGATCAGAAGGCCGCGAGGTGTACGACCTGTAAACCGGTTTATGTAAGTTTTAGCTCTTTATGGCACGACCGTGACCAGAAAACCACTTGACTAGCTTCAAAACACCTTTTTCGGCAAACTCTCCAGGAGCGAATGAATAAACTAGTTTATTTGTTTGTTTTTTTTTCATAGGGCAGCTTTGAATGGGCACTTTGAAGTGATTCGAGTTTTGGCAGCTTATGGTGCTGATCTTGGTAAAGTTGCTTTGGATGGTAACACCCCTTTGCACTATGCCGCTCAACAGGGATTTGGACCCATATGCAAATTTCTGGCACAAAGAGGTCAGTTGGTTTAAATCGCTGTTATAGCTGTATGTTATTTGCTTTAAGAGGCATAAACATAACTGTCTAGTCAGTTGGTAACGCACTTGTCTGCAGAACGGTTTTGCAGGTTCTGCCCCTTGAGCTCCACAAATACTGATGTGCGGGTCATGATGAGCTGTAGAAATAGGAAACACTTAATAACATTGACTGAAATCAGATCTGTGAGCCTCCAAGGATGAGTACAGTCAACTGTCTCTAAGACGGACACCTTTGGTACCAGCCCTGACAGTTGTCTGTCCATCGTAGAGAGGTGTCTGGCTTATAGAGAGTCAAGGTGACATATATTTTAAATTGAGCTGAACCCACTGGCAATGAATGCATGTCTTTTAACTTGTACAAAACAGCTTAACCTGGAAGATTGTCAATTGAATTGTAAGAGAAAAGTGAAATTATTATTTTCTCACTATGCAATCAAAAATTCATTACAAGAGGGGGGTTAGTAAACATTCATGGCTTTGTGGCCTTAAAGCATACTATACACTCTGCAAACTGGAGCAAGACTACCATATCAAAAATTTTGCAATTTACTGTCAAGTACATCACGTACATTTCCATTTTGGGGTATTTTTCACTGGTTATTAAAGCACTTCTTGATTGTCCATTGTCCATCTTAGAGAGGTGTCCGTCTTACAGAGAGTATAGTAGTTACAGTACAAAGACTGAAAAATGGCAAAGACCAACACTGGGTGTCTGTCTTGGAGAGGTGTCCTTCTTATAGAACTGTCTGTCAAGAGTGATTTGACTGTAACCATACCAAAACCTTGTTTCCACTGGTCACTTAAACTGATTTACAGTGTAGGTCGAAGTGATTAAGTTCCTTCCGCAGAAATAGCAGTGAGCCCTCTGTCCAGTTGGCCGTGAACACATTACCACATAGCATTCTCAAGGAATTTTCTGTGCTTAATGTGTTGACCCTTACTTTTGAAAAAAAAAACTAATAATTTCTAAATGTCTGTTTTAAGTATACTTTTCTTTGTCTTTTCACATTTTTGGAGTCAGACACATTTTTGAAACTTAATTTTTGACTGTCGTGTTTTATTTAAATTTGTTTGGACAAGCATAATTCCTTCTTGCTAACAGGTTGTCCATCAACATTAAAGAACAAAGAAGGAAAAACACCCAGACTGTTGGCAAAGGATAATGAGCATAAAGATGCTCTGAAAGAATGTCGTAAGGCAGAAAAACAGTCTGCTAAGTTGTCGAAAGGAGGAAGTAGAACAGGAGAGCCTTATGCAATCAGAGTAGGTATTATTGGAAGCCAGTGGTAACCACATTTATTAACCTTTTAAGCCCTAGTATCCACATGTAAATTCTCTAGAATTATCTCCATACATTTCCTTAAAGAATCAGTGGAGAGAATTTGATTAAGGATCAAAACATTTTCCTTTAGGTGATCATTATGAATTCTTATTACCTTATGTCTTGATCATGTATTTATATTGTTTAAGAGAAAATTGATGTTTGTCACTTTAGTCAATTACAAGGTTAAGGCTACAGGTAGGGTTTTCATATAGAATTTTAGTAGCAGGAGAAAGGTGTAATGTTACAAGAGAATAGTTTGAAAGATGCTCCACATCTGAATAAAAAATAGTCTTAACATTAACCAGAGAATTCTGCGTAGTGATGGGGAATTCTCTGTCCTCCAATGCCTAATGAATGCCCTGCTGCAGTTCCTTGATCCAGTTGACCAGCATTATAGTAACGACAATTGGACCCAATGTTTAATACATGTACATAGTTATGTACAGATGATTGTAGGTTGATTGTTTAGTTTTGTTTTCTTCTGTTTTGTAGCTTTATGACTGGATCCAAGAACATGAGGAAAAAGTGCTGAACATTTTTTATCAGTTTGATCCAGAGGAGGAAGATGGGAGTAGACAAGGAAAAATAACTAAAGACAACTTTGTCATGTGTTTACAGACTATAAGTAAGTTCTTGAGTCAGCAAAAATGCATGTTTGTAATTTTCTTTGCAGATTTAAAAGTTAGAAAAATACTTGTTTACTTGAGATGCATCTATTATTTCAGCCAGAACCAGTTGCCAAAGTACGGTAAAAACTTAAAAACAATGAAAACATAAGATCGTATTTAGCCAAGCGAGGTGACAAGCAGGGTTCCTATGTGAGTTACAGATACTTCATGTCTCAAAATTTTTGCAACTGGTTGTTGCATTGAATGATATTATGAGACACTTGAAAGTTATTTTCTTAGACTGGTGTTTTTACAGATACAGTTGTCACTATACAAATGTATATCTATAGCCCTTAGAAAGTCAGTGAAAAAGAATATTATTATTCTGCTACAAGGTTTTTGTACACTAAAATTAAAATTACTCAATGAGCAGCGTGCAAAGAAAGTCGTGTCTGACAGCCCGGGACTAGTGGATTTTGCTATCGGGCTAGTAAATTCTGTTTTTAACTTGCCCGACGGGCAAGTGATGTTTTTTGAGGAATTCGAATAACAGAAGAACTGTGAAACCAATTCTGCTCGTGAAAAAGCTTTTGGGGCTAGTTGAAATGAAGTCTGGGCTAGTAAATGCTAGCTTCAGCTTGCCCAAATGGCAAGCTGTAAAAATGAGTTTCTTTGCACCCAGCTCAATTTCCTGACTATGGATTGCGTCTTAATCTGTAACATAGCTGTAGACATGTAATAATGAAGAAAGTCTAATAATTTACAGCTTGCCATTTGGACAACCTGTAGCTAGCTTGCACTAGCCCAAAAATCATTTCAACTGGTCCCAAAAGTATATTAAACGTTTTGATGAGCAGGATTGATAACACAGTTCTTCTGTAATTTGAATTCCTCAAAAAACTTTACTTGCCTGCCCAGCAAGTTAAGAACAGTGGGAGGTACAATGGACGCTAGATCTTGTTAACACTTCTGAAGGAAGCTGATGAGTTACATGGGGGCATTTACATGTACAGTACACCATATTCTTTCAACTCTACCTTAACTTACGGTGGCTGAATTAGGCCTCCTCACCTCAACTACTGTTTTAACAAAGGGAAGACTATATACATTTCTATTCAAGATTGGCGAAAACAAATTAGTTACACTTTGTTGAAAGAAAAACTTATTCTAAATAACTGCCTGGTCACTTATTCAAGGAAACATTTGCTCTTTAAAAATAATTAACCCATAATTTAATTATAATCATGGGTACTATAACAGAAGTTTAAATTAATGTAGTGCTAATACAGATGTATGTGTTCTTTTGTTGTTTACAGATTGTCCGGTAGATGTAGAGGATTTGAATAAACTGGCTCAAATCCATGACCCTAATAAAGATGATGCTTTAGATTATCCAATGTTTATTAGTTGTAAAAAATTTATTAGTAAGGTATGTATAAGGAATTTTGTCCTTGAGAAAACAACTTTTATTAAAAGCAAAGTTTAAGACTGATTATTTTCTGTACAAGCTATAATAATAAATTATAAATGTGCAGAGAACATTTTCAGACTTTTGAAAACTAAAGTTAAATTTTATTTTTCTCTTTCTGTTGCAGCAATTTATGGTTGTAGTTGGAAAGGTATTGCTTGAAATGGATACAGTGTTTATTTTTTTAATTACCACTAACTTCTTACTGGAACCTACACTGCTGCACTTGTAGCTCTGCTGAATGACAATAATATTGTTGTTGATGATGATGATTATTTACATTAATCATTGATAGAGTGATAATGTTAATCACTTTTACAAGGCTAAAAAATATTAAAATAAAAAATGAATGCTCTCAAAAACTTTTGGTTGTAATTTTTCTTTTTCAGTTTTTTGTGACCTTGTTAATTTTCTGTGCTGAGTTTTTAGTCATACACATTTTACATGTACATGTACATGTGTAGTGTTCTCTTTTGACATTTCTCTTACTTGGTGGTTTCTTATAGAAAAAAAAGAAAAAAGGCGGTGGAAAAAAAGGGAAGAAGAAGAAGGTAACTGTTTGCTTAAAGTATAATGGCTACATGGTTGGATATAGTGCAGCATTTTTGTGCACTGACTTTTTCATCCCTTTATTTGGGAGTGTTGCAAGAAATAGTTTTGGGCATGAACTAAATCATAAATCTGTAGGTCCACTGAAAAATGTGAAAAATCACCTTTGAACAGCAAAGGAAAAACGTTATTCCCTTTCCAATCTGCATTTACAAAACCGTGAAGAAAAGTGCGAGATAGGGGAGTTGTTCTGGGCTAAAGAAGAACGGTTCAATGTTTTTTAAATGAAAATGTTTCGCAGGAAATTGTAGGAAATTCCCATGAAGTCAAAGTAAGTGCAAACCTTACAGCAAGAATTATTGTATCTTACCTGCAAACTGTTTTAAGGCTGATGTCAGTAATCAGCCTTTTGACACCATTCTCTATGAGGTTTCTGTTGTAAGACCTCAAACTTCAGTATGAGCCAGGATTTTTTAAACGCATAATGCAATATTCTCCTTGTTAGTAAGTAACGGTAAATAATAGGCAGAACTTGCTGAATACCTTGACTGTTAAAAGGTTCTTTAACCCTGTTAAGTACATTTTAAATAACTAGTTTTAACTAAAGTACATGTATGACAACTAGTTTTAACTATAAGGCTTATTTTTCAGGGTAAGACGAAAATCCCAGTTCCTATCTGTACAGCACCAGATGGTCCTCGGACAAGACATGGAGGCCCTCCAGCTGATTATGTGGAGAGATATGTGGTATGTGTATCATCCTGTAATAATGTCAAAACAACACTGACATGCTTGAATGTGGTGGCCAACAAGTTGGTTGCATGTACATGTACAAAGTTGTCATTTTGTTATTCTAAACCAAGTGCTTTTTTTAACCCCCTAATGTAAAGTAAGTCACTAGACTGGGCCCTGCTAGAAGACAGCTTCTTAAATTAGAAATTATGCCAGGTGGTTTTTGCCAGCTGATGGAGTGAAATAATGTGCTTATTTTTTCTCTACCTTAGCATTG